CAGGCAGAGACAAACGTGACGGATCAACCCTGTCCGGAACATGTGGACGACTGACCGGAGCAGAAATCTTGTGCTTCTTTCCAACCTGGGCGCCCTTGTTGGCAGCAACAACAGCGGCCAATTCAGGAGGCAGCAAGAATTGAAATTTCACATTGTTCCCCAAAGCCTTGAGAGAACGCCACACATTTTTGGACTGCAATGCCTGGTGAATTTGATCGGATCCGATCGCTTTCAAAGCCTGTTGCGCACGCTGTTCAGTCAGCTCATCAGGCACACCATGTTTCACAAGCTCCTCTGCAAGCTGTTTGACTAACCCTGATTGGAAACCAGAGCCCCATGCAGCAGGACAAATGCAACACTTGGACTCAAACAAAGCATGGACAAAAGCCGCTTTCATGTTGGAATGACAATCTCCCAACGTAGCAAGATCATCGGGCAAGTCAGCTGATACCATGATATGACCCAAAAAGGCAATTGCAGCGGCCCCACACAGGGAGTGCGGAGGCAGGCGACTGGGGTGCGAGTTCAGGACCTTTTCACAAAATCCAAACTGCTGACGCAACACTTCAAGGACAGGCATCACAATGGCATGGTCAACGACATCATCCTTGACCACATGTGCAACTATGGTACACCCATGAGGAACAATCCAAACAGGAAACCAATGTTCATTGTGCAAGAAAACCGTGACCACATGAAATCCAAGTTCACTTACGCATGTGTTGCGACGACACCAAGCTGCACACATCAGTTCACCAATAGAATCCCAAGCAGTGAGCAAAAGAGGATCAAGCATCACAAACCCAGGGATGGCAGCAAATTGCGTTTTGGAGACATTTCGGGGGTGATTGATCATGTGCTGAAGATGGTACCGAATTTCATCATCGCCCCACATTTTCCCTTTCTGTCTCAGGAGCTCAAGGCGAGCCTCTTTGTCCATGCGCTGATGTGAAAAACTCGTGCTAGGGACAGGGGCATTCGGAACATCCGAAGACGATCGTCCAGGCTCATTTGCAAAGGTCTCAGGCTCATCGCCAGTACCCCAAATCCAAGGGCGGCGTGCAATCTGACATCTGTCAACCTCTTGTTGTAGACAGCTCTTAATCTTGTGTGAACCATCTCAGCTTCCTCATTGGTTGTAGGCAACATGGAGTTGAAAACCTCATGATGAAGGAAAGACATCGCCAATGCTCCACATCGAGTAGAAGTGAAAAACATTCTCTGATGGCGCAAGACATTGACTTGCGAAAAGCCCAAGAGCTTACCCAAACATTCAACCACTTCATTCAACTTGTCATGAGCATTTCCAGGAGAATCCCAAGTAGAGAAGTTCAAACACATACCATTCGGGGTGAGGACCACAGGAATCCAATGACCATCAAGAACACAAGCTGACAACAGAATGGTTCCTTCGGCAAGAATCTCAGGGTGCGACAGAGCCCAATCACGGCACAAAACAGTCCCATGGTGAACCCAACCAGTGAAGAGCAGCGGATCCAACATCACACAATTTCGATCTTGTCCATTGACCCCTTCAAATCGCTTGGCAGTTCGTAAGGCAAGCAAAAGGCCAATGTGATGTCGGAATTCATCATCTGACCAAACTTCACCCTGAGCATCAAGAATAGCAGATCTGTCAGCAGACTTGAGGAACTGATGTCGGAGAGACCAGAGGTGTTTGGTACTCTGAACCATCGGGACATGCAGCTTAAGAAACTGAGGACCAGAAAGACCAAGCAACGGTGCAGCAGAGATCCACGATTCACAATCTGGGAGTAATCCGTCAGGCACATCGCATTGACCAGCATCAAAAGGACCAAACTTGGATGAAGGAGTCTGAGCAATCTCACGAGGCGGAAAAGTCCATGGAGCAGTGGGGCTAACAACCTGATCTTGCTTACCACCTGAAGCGGAACAGACAGACGGGACAGCATGATCACCATCAGGAACCTGAGACAGACAATGGACAGACCGACAGACTTCAGTTCCCTGGTCAGAACTGAGCACGACATGAGGGACGGATGCCGGATGCACTGCAACGGATGCTTTCTGTACATCGGATGCTACATCAACCCTGGACACTGACACATCAGATGGGCCAGGTGGCAGGCCGTCTTTGGACTCAACACCACATTGTGCAGGAGGTCCCTCAATGCAGGCAATGTAAACCACCTGACCTACCTGGAGTTCATGGGTAAAAGGAAGCTCATTGCCCACATGATCACAAACCTTAGTAACCCCAAAATTCCCAACCAACTGAGTGTGAGCATGAAGGAGTTGTTGGACAGTCTCACCGTGCGAAACCTTCAATTCAATGGGGTCGGCGCATTCATGAAGAAAAACAACCAAACAACCATCTTGGGAATTCAAAGTAGGCACCAGCGGGAGTATTGGAGGATCATACCAAGGAGTGCTGTCACATTCCTGTCCCTCATCATCAATGGCAGTCATGGGCACATCTTCTGGGGCCTCAAAAACCGGCCTGGGTACATCTTGAATGGCTTGTGATTTTCTAATCAACAGGTCCAAAACGGATGCAACGGAAATGGTTCCTTGGGAAAGCTCAGGCCATCGAAGCGGCTGTACAAGCTCAGGCATGGACAGCTGTGAAACTACTGACCAAAAACGAGTCAGAGCCATCGTGTTGGAATCCTCAATTGGTTCAACCAGTGCAGGCCATACCTGTCGACCCCTCATAAGCAACCATGTCATGAAAGCTTGGATCTGAGCATCTGCCGAAAAGGAAAACGAAATGCCCCTCAGTGAAACCAAACGTTCCTCAAGCGCAGAGAAGACCCAAGCAGCTTGCAATGGTGAAGCCATCTGTCCTGCAGCAGCCAAGGTGAGGCGTGTATCAGTGCCAAAATCAATAATGGGATCAAATCCACACATCATCATGACTTCATTCGGGTGAGCATGTCGTAGAAGACTTTCCTTAAACTCAGTGGGGCAGGAATGGACAAGGCATCCAAAGAGACCACGTTCCTTGAGGCGCTGTTCAGAGAGGCCACAATTACGACATCCACACCTACAACCAACTACCTGGGAGCTCCAGGAATGTAAAGCACAAGGCGCACAAGCTTCAAAGTTCAGCAGGTATCAGTGGAAAGAGTCATTTCCAACACCAAAAGCACTACGCTCAACTGCATTGAGAGCCAAATCTTCTTCATCCCTGACATCCCATGGCTGCAGTGTTGGGAAAAGATGTCGAACCTTCGTGACAGTGGAACCCTTTGGCCATGGTACCAACTGGACTTTCCCAATAAGGGGGGATGTAATCAACCACCATGCACGATTTCGTCGGGCTGGCCACACATCATCCAAACGAAGGTCACATTGTGAGACATGGAAACCAGAGATATCCACAAATCGTTGAATCTGACCCAACACAAAATCATTCCCAGCAGCAGGTTGGACGCATTCTAAAATGATGGCATGAACCTGGAGAAAATGGGCAATGGCAAGAATGCCCGTCAGACATGTTGATCTGGGGTCACAACCCCCTCTTCTGTCACCCAGAACTGAAAACGGTTGGCAAGCAAATCCTGCTACCAACGTAGCAGCGCCTTTGGCAACTGGCCACAACCTCTTCAAAGTAGAGAGGTGTGTCACATCCCCAACCAACGGAACAGCATCACATTGCTCCCCATACAGTTTCATGAAACGGTCATTTGCATCAACAGCTACAAGGGGTCTAAAACCAAGGGCTGCCATTCCTTGATTCATCCCACCAAAGCCAGAGCACAACTCCACGACCTGATGCAAAGCATGCCATGATGGCCTGTCATGTCGGAACACCTGAGAGGCCTCGTCAATCACCATCCACGGGACAGGAAATTGCTTGCGAAACTCGGCATTGACCAACGTGTATGAATCACCATCACCATCCAGTAATCCAGTCAACACAAAAGGGGTACCTTCATGAAGTGAGACCATACGATGGGCGTCATGTTCCACATCCCAGACTTGAAGCTTAGCAACCAGGGTCATCCTAGTTCCAGCAGCGCAATCTGCAAAAGGAAGAGGAAAATCAACAGCCATGGCAAAACCAAATGGGGTGAAAGGACACACCGACCCTCGCTCTGCCAGCACGGCCGTACCGGACTGGTAGGGGAATTGGGCCTTCACGGCTTCCAAACCACCAACCAGACAATTCTTGAAGAGATTTATCTGTTTTAAGGATGTACAACTGATTTAACTGAACTAGCTGATTTATAACATATATTTATAATATGATTTAACACACCATAAATGGATGGTGATGCAACCAACAAATTAGACTTATGCAGCCCAAACTGGTAATTTATATCAACCATCAAACGTGAAGTTTAACCAGCAATGAATTGAAAATCGGACTGCAGCAGCAAAAACGGGATTTATATGTGTAGCCAACAACCAATTGAATTCAACCAAGAACAAAAAAACAAATTCTAAGGTTTGACCATCTACAACATTTGACAACAACAATGGTGAACTCTGCTAAACATCTGTAGCATACCCTCCAGTAAACGTTTACATAACTATGGAAAATCACCATTGTTAGATAAATATTGATGTTTTTATATGTTTTTATCATCTATTTCTATGGGTCATGGCTTCCATAGCTATTTGAACGTTACCACAGTTCTGGCCATTTACCAGTCATAACTACTAACAAAACCCCATTTATAGAATGTATAATCCCAGTTTTTTTTACCAGTTATAACTATAATAAATGATCATCACTGCAGAGAGTACCCTCTGGTAATTTGTTACATAGCTATTGAAAATGGCCATTGAAATAGTGAGTTTTCCCATTAAAAATAGTGGATCTTTCCAGTTCGCAAACTGTTAAATTACCCGAGGGTAATATCCATTTAATATGGGGGAAATCCACATTTTTAATGGGAAAATCACCATTTTTAATGGGAAAATCATGGAAAATCCACTATTAATGACCATTTTCAATAGCTACGTTAAATTACCAGAGGGTATGTTTGTTGCAAAAAAGTCGGCGACACGGGGCTTCACCCTCCTGAATCTCCTCGGGCATCCTGTCACGACGACGACACGAAAAAAACACGGCACCGAAAAAGGCAGATGAAAAAAAAAACGGCACTGAAAACCTGCGGTTTTTACGGGAAAACCACCTGAAAACCTGGGATTTCTATGGATTTCTGGATTTCTTTCTGGGTTTCTATGGGTGACCTTGGTGGATTTCTGGATTTCATAGATTTTCCATTGAAAAACTTACTAAGAGGTCGACCCATATGAAACTTCTGGCCATGACTGCACGGTCAAGGTCATTTGAGGATCGCCGAGTTTGGATCAAATCCATACCATGATGACCCTCGTCACCAGAATAGATACCATTTACCCTAGGTAAACTAACATGGATGTGGAAAACTCATGGTTTATCTAGGAAAAAATGACCTGAACATTGTGCCTTTTCATGCTTTTTCCACATCGAACTGTTCGTTGACCCTAGGGATCCCTGTAAATACATAATGTTACATACCTGAGGGTAACGACCTCTTGACCAGTTGACTGACCAAGAAACACCCAAACTGGGGGTCATCAACTTTAAGCCATAATGTCAACTCTGGAGTCAGAACCTTGGGCGCTGTTTACTTATCACTATTTGGAGGTAGTCGCCCATGTTCAAGGGATTGTTCATCCAGGGCTGACATTGCCCATTTTGGTCGGTCAATCTATGACCATTTTTGTTGATGAACAGCCCCATTTTGACTGGTTCTACACCACCAGAGTCTGAACATTACCCAAACTTGGGTCCATCATGGGTCCACCATTGACCATGCCATGGAAGAAACCATGCCAGCAACGCTCGTAGTCAAAGTCTCCAGGTGACAGTGCAGGGACTTTGCCTGGTGGAAAATGGCAGCCAAGCATAGCCAACCCACTGGCTTGTGGAAACAGGACAGATGGTTCCCCAACATTTTTCAGAGACACCCGACACCCCAAATGCTTTTGTCGAATTGGTAACGACAGAATCCTCACATTTTGAGACACACACAAATAATAAGATCAATTTCCCGATTTGCCACCCTTTTTTCGTGGATACCCGTTACACATTTTCAGAGTTATATACCAGTTTTTTGTGCTAAACCACAGAATGCATCTGTTCATCTCTGTTGCGAAGGGATTCAATGTGTTGTAGCTGACATGCTGGTCAAAAGGCCATAGACAGTTCATGATGGCAACATCACACAACGTCAATGCACTTCAGAACTGACCAACACCCACTGCAAGATTTATGGAGTATGCATAGTATGCAGTATGCAAATTTCATAAATGTCATAAATCTCATGTTATAATATCCATATCTTCCTTTTAATTTCAAAGCATCACTCAAGGGAAGCGATTTTGGATTCCTGGAATTGGTCATGTGCGCCCCACAATCCGATGGGTCTTCAGAGTCTTCACATTCTTTTTCCACTTGCGATTTCCGCATGAAGAAACAAATGAACTGCAAGATAGTGACCCATAGAAATCATAAACATTTCATAAACATAGAACTTGATGTTGGTTTATATTTAAGCAGATTGGCTAGGATTTATGAAGTATGTATATATACATATATCATGTTTGTATGAACATAAGGCACTCGAATTTCCACTGGTGAATCATCATTTTCCCTCGTAATTTTTAGCCATTTAAGGGGATAAACAAACACCATTTTCAGGCACACTCTGGCACATCATTTTAAAGTTGATGAAACATATTCCACTATGATATATTCAAAATTAAATCCCATTTTTGTTGGTTATATAATCCTAGTTGAATATATATATATATTCACCATACCATTATAATCCCATTTCATAAACATATAACGTGTTGGTAATCCTAGTGAATCGATATGCTGAATCCTATATATTTAATGCTGGGGACTGTCAAACCCAGCCGCATTGCCATTCAGCCGCCTCTGTCCACCACGGGTTCCTGCGACGGCGCCACCTGTTGCCCATGACTATGGAAGCCATGGCCCATTGATAGTTAATTTAACTATCATATATATGGATATATATGGTGATTTTCCATGGCAAAACAGTTCGTTCACCATGCAGAGGGTAATCAAGAGTATAGACCTTTGCGAAACGACGCAGAATATATAGATAGATATTATATAGATATACATAAGAATAACAAGTATACGCATATATACATATGTGTGTGTGTACCATCTGAACAGATGTAAAACTTCTGATTGGTTTTCACTAATTTGCAGGGGGCACCTGGAGCATGGATAGGTCAGGTGCCAACGAAGACACCTATCCAATGCTTGTGATATCACGGCTGATCACCGTGACGTACCTGCCAATTTACTGAAATGGGAAGAGGCTCAACCCAAGAACCTCCACGTCGTCCATTTGCAATTTCAATTTACTGCGCTGTTGACGCAATCTGGAATCAATTTTGACATTTACATGCATCAGAACCTTCCTCAGATTTTCGCCGAAACCATATCGCCGACAGTATTATGTTTTTTGACTTATTTTCGCCGAGATCCTGTCGCCGACGAACTATGGGTTATTTTGGGAAACAATCGCCGAAACATTATTTTGGATTTCAACATGCTGGTCAAAACTCTATGGAATCTGGTTATGACTACGTTTGACAATTTCGGATGCCCTACATCGTTTGCGAGAAGTACCTCATGTGGCTCTTTTATTCATCTAATAATCTAGGCTGGTTTGCATGTTTCAGGATTCAGTTCCTGCCGGATCATATAATGATCCATTCTTGTCTAGTGTGTGTTATCTTGTTGGTGGTCTGAAATGATCTATATCATTTTAATACCCATCCAAAAGCGACGGTTTGAAATGCTTTTCACCATTCAACCACGACACTTCGAAATTATGTTTTTTTTTTTGCAGGTAGACATGAAGAAAACAACAGGACATATATACCCCACACATTAACCCACATAGAAATTAGGATATTCCATTTCCATATATACTTGGCATATTCATGCTTATTCAGGCTTAATTATATTATGATATTATTATACATTACTATACTGACATACTGTTATTTCCCACTTAGGATTTCTGGGTCCACCCCAGCATCGACTTCCGGCCTTATGAACCTTCACCAAACGGGCTTTGGGAGGCCTTGGGAAACTTGGGGTGCGCAACGACCGCATAGAGTTTGAAGCACACTATGTAGAAATAAATTGGCTTGGGACTATAGTTTTTCTTTTACTCCAACATGTAAATACACTATGTATACCTGTATACCCATGAAATACACTAAATACACTATGAAATACACTATGAAATACACTATGAAATACACTATGAAATACACTATGAAATACACTATGAAATACACTATGAAATACACTATGTATACTGTATGAGTAATGAACCTGTTTTTGTTTTTGACTATATATATAGACAACTTGACACGCATAAAATAACAATTATGCAACAAACGTGATCTATATAACGACCTAGAAAACAACAATTCTCTATTTAGGTTTCCCTATGTTTTCCTTATATGCAAATGAATAGAACTGGAGTCCAAATAACTGATGTTCAGGGTCAAGCCCAATGGTTGTAGAACTGACAGCCTGCTGGAGAGTAGAATCCTTGCCATTCCGTTCCAACTCGAACCAAGTTCTTGGGGGAGGTGCGTCATTCCAGCCGATGATGAGTTTGCAACAAGTCAAGTCTTTGGGTAGTACATGGTAGTACCCTAAAATTACCTATAGCATCCTATAGTCATATCATGTCATATCACAACTAAAACTTGTGAATACCATCCAAAACCCCTAGTGTCTATTTCAACTCACCCATATTGTGCGGGTTCACTTGGCTGGTAAAGATGTTTGTTTTCTGCTGGTGCGTTCAACACTCCAGAAAATATGTTTTATTGAGTTGGGAGAGTCAGGTAGGGTGAGACACAAACAAGACTTGAAACCACCCAGCAGTTTAAGGCAGTTTTTTTGATTTGAGACGATGCAGTAACCTCCAGCTGTTTTCTTTTTCCGGCAGCCATCAAAGGAACAAATGGCTAACACAAGCAGAAGAAAGGCTGGTAAAATATGGGACCTGAAACAGATTTGTTCCTCAAAGAATTGCAATTTGTCTACCGGGACCATTTAGGACGTGTTTAATATTAGATTACTTAAACATTCCCTAAATATTGGTTCTACCTTTTCAATGTCTAGTGGTTGAATATCTAGATTCCCATTCTACTTGAAACATATTTAGGGTGTGTTTAAGGCAAGACCCTATGGTTTGCCTGGAACTGGAAATGGTTTTGATGATGATGATGATGATGATGATGACGATGATGACGATGAGGATGATGGTGATGATGAGGATGATGGTGATGATGATGATGATGATGATGACGCTTACGATGACGATGAATGCGGTATGGTGAATTGTTCCATGGGGGTGGGATTTGTTTAAATCTTATGTAAAGCTCAAATGAAACCGTAATTGCGGTATGGTTTAATTATTGTTCCATCGGGGTGGGAGATGTTATATCTCTTATGTAAACCCTAAATGAAGCCCTACTTGCAGTATGGATATTTGTTTCATGGCTGTGGACACTTTATACTTGATGTAGACCCCAAATGAACCCTAATAGCGGTACAGTTCTCTTGGAAGCCGCAATGCTATGCTCAACATCGTCAACAATTGTTCATCTCTTTTGTTTGAGTTTGTTAAACAATTCGTTGGTGGGCGAACCACCGGGTCTGTGTCTAATTTTATTGGTTCTACTTTTTCACATTCCCGGGAAAAAATATCACAGCTATGGAAAACCCACCAGAAATGTGAGTTGTTTCCGGAGACCATGAGTTTCCATACTTTGCGCTTCCATATTTTCTGGAAAGCTTCCATTTTCAGCTGGTTCTCACCCGAAAACTGTTGGCCAAAATCCACCATTTTATCCACCGTTTGTGTGAACCCAACGGGGCAATTTACGACAAATAAGTTAGACATTTCTATATATAATTCATCTTGCAACTCAAATTCCAAATAATTGCTCAAATCTTTGTCAGTCTTCATTATCCCATATATAATATATTATATCCCATAGGATCCATGTATGGTATATATATATATGCTAACATTTGGGGTATATTGATGGTAAATGTTACCATATATGGCAGCACCATGGATCCTATGGCTATATACATCCCTTTTTACGATGAGTAATCGCCATTACCATTTCCCATAATGCCAGTATATGCCAGTACTCCCATCCCCCCAAAAAAACCTTCCCCAGAAACCAGTTGTGGTTGTGGGTAATTTACATATGTTTGGGACCATCCAAAGGGAGGATTAGATGAAAAACGCAACATGTGGAATAAAAAAGATTAGAAGATGTTGCAGAACAGGGGAATGGGAAGATGAATATAAAAGTTGCAACCATTTGAACAGGGGAAGATTAGATGCAAACTATGGTGGAATAAACAAGTGGAATTTCCACCACAACTCATCCAGATTAAGCCAGATTGGAGGTGGATACGTTTCCACAGTGCCCCTGTGCCCCTGGGTCAACTCCCATCTGCCCACGCCAACGTTGACCGGGCGCATCGGGGGGTGTTTTGCGCTCTCGACTGGTGATCGGCTCGCGGCAGCATCATCGGCATCGCGCACCTGGAAATCGCAGATCCAGGGGCTCCATTTCTTGGTCCAAAATTACTGGATAAGAACTTAAGTAAATACTATGGACCTGGACCAGTAATAAAAACAAGTTGAGTAAACAAATAGATGGACTAGAGTTGAGTATCACAACAGACTATACTGTACTATTACATCGTACTATTACATCTATTACTATATAGTTGAGTATACTTAGTTCTTCATAGGAAGCAAAAACACGACCCGACTGGAATCCCAAAT